TACACTTAGGAAGAAATTCTTCATTGTGAGGATGATGAAACACTGAAACAGGTTACCCAGGTTGTGAATGCCCTCTTCCTAAAAGCATTCAAGGCCAGGCTGGACAGGACTTTAAGCAACCTGGTCTAGACAGAGCTGTCCTTGCCTATAGCATGGGTGTTAGGACTAGATGATCTTAAAGATTCCTTCCAACCCAAACCATTGTATGATTTAATGATTCTATACACATAGCAATCACCCAAAGCTGGAAAAAAAAAAAAAAAAAAAAAAAAAAAAGCTTTTAGGAATACTCATTTGTCAGCCTTATCAAATAAGTTGTAGAGCAGGAAAAAAAAAAAAAAAGAAAAGCTTTTGAACCTAGTTTTGACAATATATTTATTGCAGTAACATTATATTTTTCAAGCTCAACTCATTTTCTATAAACAGTACTTCAAAGACAGAAGTATTTAGATGTCCTTATCTAGAATAATATTCAAGCAAAACAGGGATCTGAGAGCAAACCAAAAACCATTCCATTCATCTACGTATACACACATTCCAAGTTAAAAAACCCACAAACAACAGCAGAGCAATTAAAAAATAAATTCCACAAAAAAAGTCACCAAGGTATAGCTGTCTTGTCCGTTTTCTTTAGCAGATATTTTCCTGTTTCTGAAACCCTTACTCTGGATGACAGAACAGTTATTACCCAGGAGCTCGGCACTAGCAGCTTCTGTGGATGTTTTAGGAAAATAGCTGCTTAAAACTGAAAAGACAAAGAAGATACAAAAATATTTTCTCACACTTCACAAGACAATACGTATTACTTATTCCCATAAATAATCACAATACTTACATTTTACTCCAGTGTCAAGCTCAAATGCACTGATAGCTTCTAACAATCCTTCAATCAGCTGCTTAAATCTGGAATTTTCTTTGAGACTTCTGAAATAACACCACCATATGCAATGTTTCTAAGAAAAATGTATGGGATAGCTCACAATAGCTCTCTTAGAATTTAGAGTTAACAAAGAAGGAGCAAAACCGCAGACTGGCAGATGAAACAACAAAATAACTGCTGCCAAGTACTACAACTCCCTAAAACAGCCCACTGCCAGAATTAAAACATTATCGTAAAGGAAAATTGTCATAGTACTGTCCCTCACATACACCTAGCACAAAGAAACTAGTTATGATGACTGAAGAATAATACTACCTATACTTAGTAGCACTTACTGTCTCAAACAGTGACTTAGCATTTCTGCTACGAGGCAATAATTCATCTTTTCCTTAGAGAAAACTTCTTATCCCCAAGTGCACTTGCAAAGATGCATTACCTCTTGGTAACTTCAGTCTTACACAGGGGACACTGTATTACACCCTTTTTCTTTTTGCTGAGGAGTTTAAACATGCAAAACCTAGAGAAAAGAATAATCACAATGTACCACTTAGTAGATATTCTTCATTATTACTCTGAATTCCTCTATTCCTGTTCTAATGTTAAGATGAATTCATTGATCCACTTTGACATATCTGTACATCTGCAGTTATTTCAGAATGGACTTTTCCACTTCAGAAGCTATAGACCGGGTAATCAAAACACAATATACATCAATAGCAGTGAAGAGAAGCATACGTGGAGAATAAGAACAGGTTCACTAGGCACTCTGATTTTAAGTTTGCAAACCTACCTGCAGAATATGTGATCACATTTTGTTGAGACTGGCTCTTTTATCACATCCAAACTGTAGAAAGAAAAGGGAAAAACGTAACTTCTGTGTTCTTGCTTAAAAATAGCAACAGTACAAAATTCAGAAATACAATCATTTTTGAGAACTTTAAAAAAAATCTTTAAAAAAAAAAAATACCACAAGAGAAATATACCAGATTTGATCATTTCCCATTTGAGAACCAAGGACAGTATCAAAATTGTTATTATATGAAACAGATGTTATCAATTGCTCTCCACAATCTTCACATTTCTCTGGCAAAGAGATCACATTTTCTAGAGATGTTATCCAGAAAAGGAGGAAACTCAGTATTAGAACACTAACAGATTCTTTTTCAACTGTGACCTCCTGTGTCGAGAGCAGAGCACAGTGTAAAGCAGAGGTTCAGGAGTCCACTGGATTCCTACAACATTTATGTGAATCAAATCCACAGATACGTTAATGCGAATAATATTTAGGTTGTTCCCCCCACTTTTTCTATTCTAAACCCATTTCTATCTAGTACAGTGTGAAAATTAATGTTCAACTTTATATTAGGGCTGTAAAAAAAGCTTTAACCGATTCTCTTGCTGACCTCACCTTAAAGCATAATCTACCTTGAACACATACTAAAAAGTTATAATCTTAGGCTTATGCTACGTTACCAGCTGTAGTTATGTTAGAAGGTTCTCCTAAGTTTTATAGACTAGGAATATACATGAAGCAGTTTCTCTGTGACTGTTCTGTCTACAACTCAGCAACATGCATTCTTTTAATTGGAATCATCATGTAAACTACTTACAAAAGCCTAATTTGGATAAAACCCACAAAGACAAATCTCCTTAACTTGTAGATTTACTTTTTGCTATTAGGCAAAGTGTCAAAACTAGCTTCAGCATCACTTTGGTATTCATTATTCATTCAATCTCACTTAGGTATATTTTGAAACATTTTAATATTTTAATTTGATCTAATTTAAAAAAAAAAATAAAAGGAAAATTATACCATTATGCCTAAAGAACAGCAGATGAAGGAAATGGTTTCAGTTTTAGCTTTTGTAACATTATTTTTTCTAAGTCAATTAATAGACAAACCACCCATTCAATGGCAATGTCTCAGCAAGAATCCAGCTGCCTCTTCAGAAGAGTTTGGATGCAAGGTCTTTTATTTTTCTTTTTTTTTTTTTTTTTTTTTTTTTTTTAATAGACATTCTACATTTTCTGCTCTGTGGCTTTGCAGATGTTATCATCAACAAAGAAATTATTTTACTTTTTTGCCTTTGGAGAAGCAAATGTTAAATGCATCTAGAACGATTAAAGGATTTAAAAACATTTTCAACCACAGACAAAATAAACTTAAGCATTTTGGTTCAACAGATGCAAGTCTTTTAAAGGACTATCATGCATCCTAAATAGCTAGGCTTGAACTGAAACCTGTGCCATTTTAGTATTTCTCTGCATTTACAAAACTATGAACTGTGCTTAACTTTTAGAAACAAAAGACAAATATCCAGGCTAGCATGCAAACAATGCTCTAATCAGCTAATTTTTTCCCCCACCTGGATAGAGCACTGATACTTTTAGGTTGCAATATATAAGAAATATTTACTGGAACACAGGAACAAAATGTATCTCCTGTCACAAATTTACTCTCACTTATCAATGTATTTTGTTTTAATAACACTATTCTTTGTGTTTTCTCATGACCACGGTATTGACAAAATGTTTGAACAGAAGAGAGAAAAATAAAGAGCATGTTAATTATTTTAATGCCTACCAGACTGGACACTCCAAGTTCTTCTGCATGGCTGAAAGCACGTTTTGCACATCTCCAATGGCAATCACTGACAAGTCCATCCTTCAGACACCAAAACACTCTACAGACAAACAGAAAGTATTGTTTCAGATCTGTTGCATTCAATGATCATGCTTTCTTCCATGTAGCTTTCCCAAGATACATGAAATGACACAGGCCAACTGTATCCTGGGCTGCATCAACATAGGGGTAGGTAAGGGAAGGGACTGTCTTCCTCTATGCTGTCCTCGTGAGGCCACATCAGCAGCACTGCATCCAGGCCTGGGGATCCCAGAATAAGACGTGGTTTGAGGGGAGCAGATCTAGAGAAGGCCATAAGGATACTTGGAGTCTTGAGTCCTACAAATACGTGCCAAAGGAGCTGGGCTTGGTCAGCCTGGAGAAGAGAAGGCTGCAAGGAAACCTCACTGTGGCCTTCCAGTACTCTAAGGGTGCTTACAGACAGGAAAGAGATAGACTTCTTACATGGAGAGGTAGGAAAGGACAAGACAGAATGATTTAATATTAAAAGGAAAGATTTAGGTCAGATGTGAGGAAGAAATTCTTTACTCAGAGGTGGTGAGGTCCTGGCACTACTGCCCAGAGCAGTGTGGGTGTCCCTGGAGGTGTCCAAGGGCAGGCTGGATGGGACCCTGAGCAGCCTGATTTGGGGTAAGTTTGGCAGGAGTGCAAAGTCCCTTCCAACCCAACCATTTCACAATTTTTTTTTGAGCAAGGCTTACTCTGCACATTCAGTTAAAATCCATTCTGCCTCACAGCCCAAGGCTAGCCAAATCAGGCTGACAGGAACAGCATTCAGCAGAAATTCAGCAAGCGAGCCCACAAGCACGTCTGCGAGCTGAAGGAGCTTTCAAGGCAGATGCAGAGGAGGCAGCAAGAGCACTTACCTAAGGGACCCTAGGGACCGTCAACACCGACCGGGAGAGAAGAGGTCACCACGCAGCGTGCAGCCCACCCTATAAAAAAAACAACAACAAAAAAAAACAACAAAAAAAAAAAACAACAAAAAAAAAAAAAACGTTTCAGCCATCGTGCGGCAGCATCTCTGGGCCCTACAGCAGAAAAGACCAAAACAGGCCCAGCTCCACTAACCCGCTCACTTCTACCATGTCACACTTCGCGCCCTTTCCGTCAAGGCAGAAACCGGCGCACTAAAAAGCCAATCCTGCGCCCAGTTTATATCACGTGGCCCTAGAGGCACCATCCTATTCGCTCCTTTTCTGGCGCGTGCGGCTCCCTATCCGTCCACAATGAGGCGGGACAGAAAAGAACATGTTTGATTGGTTCTACTGGATGGCCCCGCTTCCGGAAGAGGAATGGCATGGTAGGAGTCCCGGAAATGCATGCCCGATGGCACGGTGCCCACCTACTTACTTCCGGCCTCCCTGGCTGTGTTTATTGTTGTAGTTCTAGTGCCCCTGGTTCCGCCCGACCTGCCCAATCAGGGCGGCGAGGCGGATGAGAGGCAGGCCGGGGAGCCAATAACATCGCGCGAAGTACAAGGAGCCTGCCTAAGCCGGTCCGCCATGTTAGGGCTGTTGTAACTGCTGAGGAGGGGGTTCTAGTGCTGCGCTTGTGGTTGTTACGACGTGGGCTACTGCTAGAGCCGTGGCGGGCGGTGAGTGGGGGCCCCGACTGCCTGTCCGTCCGTCTCCCCCTTCCTCCCCCCCCCCTGAAATCTGGGTCAGTGGGTGACTGCGGGCTGGGGCTGCCTGGTAGGGTTGCCTGACAGGGCTTCCCTTGCCTCCCGAGGAGCATGGAGCCGCAAGTGAACCTTCGCGTCAACTACCGCGGGGAAACCCAGAGCTTCCTGGTGTCAGACACAGCGCACACAACGTGGGCCGACGTGGAGGCCATGGTGAGCACTGCGCCACTTCTCTCTGGGCTTCCGGCACTTGCTCATCTTATAGGGCATTAAAACGGGTATTTTTTCAATCTGCTGTGGCCTCTTGTTTTTTTGTTCGTTTGAGTGTTGATAGTGACTTTTACTCTTTGTTTTCTAGTTAAAATAACCTGGAATCACTTGTTCTAGATAGAATTTCACATGGGTTGTGTTTTATTTTTTGTGTGCGTGTTGTTGTAATCCACAATTGTGGATGTGTGGAAATAACAATATCGATTAGAAAAACATGTATAACTGTAACATGTATAAAACGGTGTTTTACTACTGTCTTGCTGTAAAGCGCACTTTGTTTTGCTTATGAACCATTGTTTTGTTCATTCAGGTAGGCAAGGTTCAGTAATACGCACCTGTTACTTATAGAGTGTCTTCCTGATTTTGTTCTCTGGTTTATCTAGTTGCTAATATGCCGTATGTTTATTCCTGCTTCTAGTTACTGCAGTCTCTTCTATTGGATGAATTTTAATCAGTGCAATAAAGAATTCTGTTGGTTATGATGTAGTGGCAGTGTTATTGCTTATTTATTCTGTCTCAATCCTTTTGTTTTTCTTATTTGTTTGCTTTTAGTTTGTTCTCCAAGTTGCATCTTACCAGTGTTTTTTTTTTCTCTCTTTAATTCTCTTTAAGCTAATGTAATATATGCAGTGGGATATTTTTTCATGAGGGACTTACTCAAATTCAAAACTTAAGCTGTATAATGCTTTCCTAGTTGTATTTCAGCCTTCAAGAAGAGGTGTTAGTTCAATCTTAAAGTAGTTGTTGATGAGTAGACTGCGTAGGAATGCTCGAGTGGCTTTGTGTTCTACTTGCATCAAAGCTGGAAGCGGATTGCTTTTAATCCTCAGCATTCAAAGAATGAGTGTGCTTAGTTGAGGCGTGAGCCTCTATTGTATTAGGGTTACTTCTCTAACCAAGGGTGGTTCTCCACTTTGCGGTGTTTTGTGGTAGTACTAGCTAAACTGACTACTGTGTTTTTACTGTATTATTATATATGTCTAGTGTTTAAAAAAGACAGGCAGACTTACGGCTGTAGCTTGAAGTTTTGGGGAAATAATTTGTGGCATAGAGATATGTTTAAATCAGCATTTTCTTCACAGTTAGTTTGTTCTTTCGTTGCACTTCAAAAATTTATTTGGGCTGTATCACTGAAAGGACGTGCTAGTCACATACAGATTCTGCAATAGAAGTAGCTCTTGTGAGGCTGTCCTGTGATCCACCTATTGTCTTCCAAGATGGCTAGAGGTCTTTTGTTAGAACCAGACAGGCAGAATAGGTCTCAAGTAGAGCAGTCTTGGAGGAAAAGTGCAGTTTGTATGGAAAAAAAATGCATGTGAGCCTCAAAGTCTTATTCAGCGTAACAATTGTTTTTGTTTACAGTTCATTTAATGCTGTGGATTCTGCCCTGTTAATACAATATCGTAGCTGTTCAGATTTGTTGTTCTTATTTGGAAACGAGTAATGGGTTTATATGTTCAGGTGTACAGTGAATCTGCCAGGGACTAATAGCATTTAATATTTTGCCCATCTTAGTTTGCATTTATTCTAGTTTCTCAAAAGACACATCTTTTGGGGGAAGGAAAGGCTGCTTGCCAGTACCACGTGTTGTTTAATGCACAAGATAGTGTTCAAAGATTGTTGGCTTTAGCCTCTGTAAATTGCAGTGTTTTCCATGACTGAGTTCATTAACCCTCAGCAAGTCCCCTTATCATGAAGAGACTACTTTGTGGTCTTGATTTGCTGGGTAAATGTTAACTAGATAAGTTGGAACACTAAGTAATTGACTTTCTGCTTTTCATTATGACAAGTTGGTAAAAGGTGGGGTGCAGGGAAGGCACTGGGAAGAATACTTCAGAAAAACAGACTTTATAAAACTATTTATTTCAGTTGAGAAACTGAGAGGGAAGGGTGAAAAGATAAACTCTTTTTTTTCCTGTTAATAACCATGATTAACTGAAATCTGCTGGAGGCCTGTCTTACTGTGTTTGTTTTTGTTTTTCTCCTTTTGCTTACAGGTTAAAGTTTCATTTGACCTGGATGACATTCAGATAAAATACATCGATGAGGATGATGACGAGGTATAACACTGCCCCCCCGCCTCTGAAATACAACTGCTGTGAACCTTTCTGCCTCTTGCAGTCAGTACTTCTGGAGCATATGTTTTGCAGCTCAGAGGTGGTTAGCTTTGTCCCTTTGAGGGAAAAAAAAAGAAGCCCCTAGTCTCTTGGTTTCACTCTTAATGTAGCATTCCTAATTTCAAACAGAAACTATTGCTTCTGTTTTTCACACCAGTATAACTCAACAGAAACGGGTAGTAGTTCTTTGTGCTCTGAGGAATGGGTAGTTCTGTTGATGAATTTTTAATTATTTTAGCTTTTTTTTTTTAATCAAAGTAAGGTACTTGTAACTGCTTGTGCCTGAAGCCAGGATAAAGCCGTGTCTCTTCAATCTACCTTCATTCTTCTGGGATCCCCAGGCATTAGCATATGTTTACTTCAGTGATCTGGTGTACTTAAATCTCCTGCTTATTTCATGTGAATGCTATAATCTGCAAGCAGATTACTGACTCAGAAGGCAAATAAGTTACTTCCAGTTGTCCTTGTTGAGTAACTTCCTGCTTGGCATAACTTTGACCTCATTCTTTCTGCTTATCTAGAGATTTAGGTTGGAATGTAGCTGTCAAACAGAACACAATTGCTGAGCGCTCTGAGCTCCACAGGTTGATTTGCCACTCAGTTAAATTGCAGAGATGAGGACTAAACTAAACAAACAAATCCTAATAGGAAATGTCAGGATGTTTCCAGAAACATTTCAGGGAAAGATTCTGTCCTTATTTTCCAGCCATTATGTCTCTCCTTGTCCACATATGTGTATACTTGTTTAATGTGAGTATCTGTTCAAGATCTTTCACGTGCTAGTAGAGTAAATAATGATCAGAATTATGTAATGCTGTGGTGATTAAATGACTCCTTGTATGAGTAACTTCTTTGTGCAAATTTTGATCTAAAAAAATGAGCATGTGTAGTAGATTGTGATGCCTTGTTCGTGATCAAGAATACTTGTTAAGTGCTGCATGCTTGGCATTAACAGCAACTGGGTCCAACCTCTGCTTACCTGTGTAGCAAGCCTTGTGATGTCAGCACTGGCTTCTGCTGAATGAGACTGTGCTTAATCTGGGTACCAGCAGAGGCGGGGGCCTTGCTAATGGTGCAGACCTAATAAAGAACATGGTCGACTCCAAAACACTTTAGCATTGGTTAATAATTAAACATTGAAGCAATAACAAAAATCTGAAGGAGCGATAGATACTTGGGAAACTGAATAAAAGTGCATTTACTTTGAAAGCATGTTAATTTCTAAAACTACAAAAAATAACAGGCTGTTACTCATTATTATTTCTCTTTGCAGGTGTCTGTAAATAGCAAAGGTAAGCTGCTACTTTACTGAACTAAAATCAGACTTGTTAATAGATTTCAGCTGTTACCTTAGGGAGAAACAGCTGAGAAACCTTGCTTGTTGGAATTCTGTATATGGCTGGGTATCAAATTCTTCCCAGTGGAAGAAAATTTATAGTACGTTGTAACTGTATTTTTTCTTTAATGAGTGAGTTAATCAAATGTTAAGTCTCAAGTTTGTAGGCTACATGCCTTTCCTTGGTGCCGCATGTACAACAACCTCCTCAGTAGCACTACTTTAAAATAATTTATGGAAGGTATGGAAGACATTCCTAGATGTAAGAGTTCTTAAATACTGTATGTTAAATTTACATGTATTTGATGTAGGAAGCATTCACATATTTCTCTTTTCTCTTCAGAGGAATACGAAGAAGCTCTGAAGGTAATTGGTCTCTGAATTTTTTCAGTATATTCAGCTTTCTCTAATGAGGATTGTTGTAGCTGAAAAAAAATAGCATTATCTAGCCTGTGGAGATGAGAATAGCTCATTCTTCTTGCTTTGGATGGTAGCTTGAATGTTTTGCTATACTTAAGTCCAGCCAGGTGAATTTTGATTTGGTATTAATTAGTTGAATATGTAGTTGTGATTCAGTGCTCTCAGCACACAGTGAACAATTACTGGCATTATTAAGCACCAGTAATGTCATGTTTGGAGGTACTGGGCTCTTATGAGATCCATTTAAAAATCTTGCCACGCGTTCTCCAATGTTATACTCTCTGGCAATAAAACTTCCTTTCATGTTAAGAGCTTAGTTACTTCATCTACAGTTGCTTTTTCTTTTTTTCTAGACCAAATAAGGATTGCATTCCTTTGAATTGAGCAGTACTAGTGCTTTTAGAACTTCCGGCTTGAATTTCTAATCTGAATATAATGCATGAAAACTTATTTCAGCTTCCTCATGAGATTTTTCCGTTGTTTACTGGCTTGGTGTAAACAGCTTTATTGTAGATTTTAGAACTCCTGTAGAATATCTGCCTAATAAACTTCTTGTTTGTAGTAGTCTTTCTAATAAGCGTATTGGTTACAAAGCAGAATATAAAAAGCAGGGTATGTCACTCAGTTTTTCATGTTTTTTGTTGTTCCCTTCCTGTCTCGCCCTTCCACTCCCCACCAGCTGCCTCTCTGGTGCAGTATAATGCTGTATTTTTACAGGATTTTGTATGTTGGTTTTAAGTGGAGTAAATCTGGTATATCGTGTAATGTTTATTTAGATTGCAGTTAAACAAGGAAATCAACTTCAGATGAATGTGTATAAAGAAAGCTCTCCTCTGAAAGAAACTTCATCTTGTTCTTGGCAACTGCATGAAAAAACAGTCACAGAGAAGGTGGCGGTTCTTAAAGATGAGCTGACAGCTCAGGTAGGATGCAGAGCTGGATTATATTCTCATTAAAACAAATAATTGGTATGTTATTCATTTCATAGCCTGATTATCATTTTTACCCATACGTTAAAAAACCTGTAAGCTCAAATTTGCGCTTTGTAGCTACCTGAATATGGCCATTGAAAGTCACAACATTGTTTGAATGTCTGTAAGAGGATGTTTTGATGCTATGTTTCAAAGTACGGATTCATTCTTTTTGACTATTTTGAATACTTTAGTAGATAAAATGGACTCCTGAAGTCCTGATTTGCATTCTGGCAACTTTTGGTTGACTTGATTGCTTTGGCTTCAATGTTCAGTTGTATGTGAATGCAAATAAGGCAGAAATGCTTCAGGAAAACTTTTGTGGCTTCCTTGTCTGACTTTCCTGCTTGTTTTCTAAAAGAACTTGAAATCTTTATTGTAAAACATACTTGAGGAGACAGCTATTTGAAAGTGTGGTTTGGTTGCTTGGTTTGTTTCATGTACTTGATGTGTTTGACTTTTCTTTTCCTTTTCACCAGCAGAAGTTAAATCACAATAGAACAGGAAGAACAAATGAAAGTCCTCCAGAATGGTTTACTAGCTACTTGGAAACAGTATGTGTATTTTCTTTTGTGCAGTCCTTTAGGAGTATTAAAATTTGAGAGATTTTGGTGGAATTGATACCTGCAGTTGCCTAAGTCTGTGTATCTGATGTGTATCGGATTTGTTCTCAGTACTTGTGACCTGAATCTTAAATGGTATTTTAAATGTCTAATCATTTCGCTGTTGCCAAAGCAAATTGGGATTCATTGTCTAACAGTGACTGTCTGGATTGGTTTTTACAGTGTTGGTCTTGCTCTAAAAAAACAACAACAACAAAAAACTTTGATGCTTGCCACTTTTGTCAGAACTGGGTTGTTTGGTTTATGCATTTGATTGGTTTGAGTGTAGTTGTAAGTAGCATTATTATTGACAAAGGCTGGAATAATTGAGTAGACATTGGTCCCTTCAGTGTTTTGGACCTTCTGCGCTAGAATCCTTGTTGCACTCCAGATGGTAATAGGAATTTTGAGGTAGAGCATGAAACACGGCATTGCTGTTGGAGAGTCTTATTTGACCAGTTTTGGAGGGGTAATAGTTTCCAGAGAACTGAAGCACAACTTTTGATGGCCTTGTTTTTCTTGGTAGTCCAGTTTAAGAAAATGAGTTCAAGAGTCCAATGAATATAACCTATGGATTAATGAGGCATGTTAAATTGTTTTAGGCAGGTAATAACATAACTGAGAAGCATCTAGCTGAGGGTGGTAAGAATTTATCAGCCAGTGTCTTTGTGAATGAAGATATGGTGGTGTAGTGATATCTTTAAACGTTTTCAATTCTCCCTTCTTTTGTAACTACTTGTACAAACTGAAGATCTTGGAATACTAAGGAACTGCATTTATAAAGCTTCTGGTGGATAAAATTGGGACTTAAAGATGTACAGAGACTTCTGGACAGTGTATTGGGAGTTAATTGCCTTAGATTTGTTTCCTTCACTTGGTACAAGGCTATGGAATAACTTTACAATTTGTAATATAACTTTGAATTTGTAGTTGCTTTTTTAAAAATTTATCTTGTAAAACTAGCATCATGAAGCTGCATCTCAGTGATGACTTCTTTCCTCTTCAGTTCAGGGAACAAGTGGTGAAGGAAACTGTTGAAAAACTGGAGCAGAAACTATATGAGAAGCTTATTCAGCACAATCAGTCTTCAGAATTCTCCGAGAGCTGTATTACAACAGCACCTCCCAGTTCAGAGACCCAAACAAAGAATGGTAGTCAACCTGACTGGCTAATCTCCTGCTGCAACTGCCAGGCTCGAATTGTTGGAGTTCGCTACCAGTGCAGGTAGAACCTGATGAGCAGTGACTGTATGGGAAACTTAACAGGTTAAGCATGTGAATGAGAGTTTGAGAAGCCATCTTCCATGTTTCTTGTCTGATGGATGGTATAAGCTCCAGAACCTCTAGTGTGCATCTCATAAAGAGTTTATGTACTCTGCTGTTGCAAACAGTCCTTATCTGCTTAAGACCGAGATTAATAATGTTTTGAAAAAACATTTCTTAAAAGTATATAAGAGAATTTTCAGACTCCTGTTGTTCTCAAGCACTTCGAAACTTTTTCTAACATACGATGTGCAATAGTTAAGCTACCATAACTTTCCTTTATAAGTTAAAAAAAGCATGAGAGCTATAGGTACCGGTCAGTCAGAACTAAAAGGAGGATTCTTTTTTTTTTTTTTTTTTTTTTTTTTTTTTTTTTTAAATGGTCAGTGAGTTTAACGGATATAATGCTTGTATTTTTTTTCTTTTACTTTAAATGAGCTTCCTGTCGTTAGTTTGTTAATAATATGCTTTGAGCCACTTAAGTGAGGTATAGAACGTGAGGTTTTTTATTTAAATGAGGCAGTTGCTGTAAAGGCAAGTATTCTAGGATTTGACAGTAGCAGAGGAATGTCAGTAGGGATTTTCTTTGGGGTATTTACTTTTCTTCCTTTGTATTTCTCTGGGCTGAGGTGACTCTTGTTTTTAACCAGTACTGTTCCTGTAAGAGCAATTCCCTTTACATTCTGAAAACTTAAATTGGCTTTTTCTTTGTATCTCCTTGTATAAAGTGTAATACTGTTTCTGGTGTTGGATTTCATTGTCACATTTTATTCTGTAGAATAACAATTGTCAGTAACTTATGCTAAACAAAGTGTTAAGTCCTTGTGTATTGGAGAAGGAAGTGGGAAGTGCTTTGTTAAGAGGAGATATTTGATCTAGATGTTCCAGATACTGATGTACGAGGGGACGAATGAACTTCTTTCACTCAGATACTGCTTACAGTGATAGTTTGATACTGACTTTTTTTTTTTTTTTTTTTTTTTTTTTTAATAAATGGAAGGATTAATTGTTGTTTTCTAGTTTATTAATTCTTTGTCTACCTCCTGGTAACCTTCTGCCTTTACTACTTTGCAGTCTCTGTCCAGCCTACAACATTTGTGAGCAGTGTGAAGCAGGAATGTATGCACACGATCCTAATCATATATTGCTAAAGCTACGAAGACCTATGCTATGTATTGCTGAAAACTATGATGTTGCACAGTTTTCTCCTTGCCAGCCCACTACTCTGGAGCAAGTTAGGTAAATGATGGCACCTGTCAGTACCTGATGAGATTGTCCTGGCAGTAAAGTAGAAAAACCTGTCTTGCGGTTGGTATTCTGCTTTTATGAATTCGGATTTATTCAAAATAAGAAATGGTACTCTGCAGTGCAAGCATTTAAAAATAGCTCTATACTTGCAAAATGGCTTTAGTCAGGAAGTATACAGAGCTTTTAATAGCAAAATAGAAAAGATGATAGGTGGGTAGTAGACTTTGAGTGCTTGCTTGCTGTTTGAGCATGTTTGGATCTGTCTTCGCTTTGACCAAGGCTGTTCTAAATACCTTTGTCAGCAGCTATGAAGTTGTTCTTTGAGAATCATCTGGTATCCTGTCTAGAAACAGGTGGCATTACCTGAGGTGTTCTGAGACTGTATTGACTAAAGATAAATTTTAATCAATTTAGTATGCTTAACAAAGTGACTCTCTCTGCAGGCTCCAGAAGCAGATAGACAAAAGATTTCTGAAGGCAGAAAAGCAGAGGTTACGAGCAGAGAAGAAACAGCGAAAGGCAGAGGTCCGAGAGCTCAAAAAGCAGCTAAAGTTGCACAGGAAAATTCATCTGTGGAACTCTGTCCCTGTATTGGAAACCAGTGGCTCGCCAACTCTGAAGCCAGAAAATCTCCAACACAGTACCGTACCGTAAGGGTTGTTATTAGCTGATCAATTCTTAGTTCCACTGTCTGGCTGTCTGTGATGACACAGAGTTAAAGTAACGAGGAAGGCTGTGAAGCCAGTCACTCATTCAGAGTATCATTTGTGATTGAATCCTGTGAAAATTCTGTCTAAATAGAATTTGCAAGGTGGAGTGTTCCTTCTAAAGAGAGTAGCAGAAGAAAAAAAAAAAAAAAAGCAACTAATGATTATGTGGGGTGATGAGGGAAGGAGAATGCCTAGGATTACGTGTGTGTACATGCAATATAAATTAATGTTGCTGCTAGCTTTTTTTGAAATTCCATGTTTTCCTGTTTTAATTGTCTCCTTATTGTTACGTATATTTTGTGTACATGCATTCAGTGTTTTTTTCCTTTTTTTCTTCAGAATGAATTTAGGATGAGGCCTGTTAGGTAACAGCCTTTCAGACAAGGCAGACTACTTTGCATTTTTGAGTTCCTTTAGGTTTTATGAATGCACTGGGCATTTAAGGGTTGATTAATAACTTCTGTTTGTGAGGAGCTTAAAATAATTACGGCATCCTCCTGACTGAACAGAAATATTAAAGGAAACTGAGTGCTGCTAGTTGGAATCTTTTGAAGTTGATATTGGTGGTGAATTGCTTCACCGATCCTCTGTCAGTGCACTAAACTATCAGTAGAGCTTTTGATTTTATTTATTTATTTTCCTTTCAGACAAATCTGTGGTACTTACTGAAAAAAAACAATATTGTTTGTAAGGCCAAATAAGAAGATATCACTGAACTATAAGTCATTGATTCAAAATCAGAAAGATAATGACTTTCTTCTGTAACAGCGTACTAGTATTGCCCAAAGTGTTTTATAATTAAATTAAAAATCAACTGAAGAGCAGTGAACTTTTCTTTTAAATCTTGGTGTTGTAATCATAATAGAGGTTCTTCCAAATGAGCAGATCTTATTTTTGTGTGCTTCCTTTCTAGTTAAGCAAAACAAACTGCTGTGTGGTGTTTAGGCTTGAGATTAAAACCTTTACATTACAATTAGGAAAAATGTCTAGAGACGGGGAAAAAAACATAAGTATGTTATTCTATTTTAGCTATAACAGCTGAGTAACTTCCTCAATTTTGGTGTTTTGGTTTATTTTTCTTCACCCTCCTAGGAGTCTCAGTCAACACTTCCAAGCAGTTGTCCCAACACTGAGTGCAGTTTTTGTGGATGAGAATTTGCCAGATGGGACTCGCTTGCAGCCAGGAACAAAGTTCATCAAGCACTGGCGAATGAAAAATACTGGCAATGTGGAATGGAGCTCAGACACAAAGGTATCTTTCCTTTGTTAACTCTTACACACTAAAATATTTGTAGAGAAGTAAAGCTTATATGATTAAGAATCTGAATTCTCTCTTTGAACCTGTTCATGATTTATTTTGACCGATTAAAAACTGTCAAAAACTGGTTAAAACTGGAAAGTGTAGAGCAGTAAGCTTTCCTTAAAACTGGAGAGCATAGTAGGAAAGCAGTCAAGGGAAATGTCAATGAAAATGTCTTCTGTTGTTATTCTAACGTAGTAGTGCAATCTGATTACAGCAAGTATGTTGCACTTCTGATTTCTGGAACGTTTTCTGCTGTGTTTACTGAATTGCTGTTTAAAGATGAGTACCTTCTTACTGTGTGATCATAGAAACTAATGTGAATCTTTACTAGCAGCTGCTCTTTGTCTAGCATTTGTATAAAGCCTTTTAGCAGAGAAGTTCAAAATATTTCTTCCTCGCTACTTATAAAGAGAAACTTGCAAAGTTTTTTGCCTTTTTCTATTTCAGCTGAAACTTATGTGGGGAAATCTCACTTTGGCATCTTCTGAGAAAAAGGATGTGTTGGTGCCATCCATATCAACAGGACAAGTTGGGACTGTTTCAGTTGAGTTTGTGGCTCCCACTATAGAAGGAACTTATACCTCTCACTGGAGGCTGTCGCACAGAGGGGAACAGTTTGGACCTAGAATCTGGTGCAGTATTGTTGTGGATCCCTCCCCAGCTACTGACTCTTTAGAAGACAGTTGGAAGGATTTTGATAAAGATAATATATCCAGTAACAAACAGGCAAGTAACTCATCCAGTTTTGGGGCACTAGCGAATTGTCCGGTAGTTTGAAGAATATGCATTGTTCTCTGCAGTGGTGCTGCATTCCTAGCTATACTGATATCTGGGGGATTCTTTTAGTAGTTTGCTTCTGATTTTTTTTTTTTTTTTTTTTTTTTTTTTTTTTTTTAAATTTTTTTTATTCTCCAAGTTGTTTTTCTTCTCTACTAAGAATAATAACTTATTTTGCGTTTTAAGTTCTGAAATAGTAATTCTTTTTGGACAGACATGCAGTAAGTTACTGATCAGTTTCAGCTATTTGTCTTCTTTTTTATGATGGGACATGGATTTTCTTCACGTTAAGTCTTGTCCTTTTGGCTTTAAAATGAGCAGAGTTTAATATTTTTCAAATTGTAACTTAAATAATATTCAGGCTCAATGTTTTATGGCTTAGATTTGCTACCTAAGGTATTTCTGAGACTTTTTTTTTGTCTTTTGCAGGATGCTTACTTGAAGACAGAAAGAAATGCTAACGTTACAGGTGAAATTGTGGAACAGGCTGAGATATCTCTGCCAACTTGTCCTTTGAAGATGAAAAATCTAGCCAGTGAGAGAGAATTCTATATCCCATCTGTTGATCTTCTCACTGCACAGGTAAAGTGCTTTAAAAAAAAAAAAAATCATCATCCATAAGAATAAGTAGCTTTTAAGTTTTAGAAGAACCACTGTTTTCAGGAAGAGTATGCTGTGTTTTATATAGCAGAACTATTTCTCTGAATTATTACAGGGGGCTGTCAGTGCAATTAAGGTATTTGCTAAGATTTTCCTTGAAGAATTGTGGTTTAGGGTCTTTCTTTGACCTCTGACAATGGAGTACTTAATTTTCCCCCTCACTGCCTTAATTTGTGTATTGTTTTCTTTAGTGAGGGGTGGACTCTATGGGAAAATGCCCTCCATCTGTGGCCATGCCAAGTAAATAACAGAATGGAGTAGGCCATTTTTAAGATACTGGAATTACAGAATCACCAAGGTTGAAAAAGTCCTCTAAGATCATCCAGTCCAACCATCCACCTGTCACCTATATTTTCCACTAAAACATGTCCCTCAGTACAACGTCTAAACATTTCTTGAACACCTCTACGGTTTCACCACCTCCCTGGGCAGCTCATTCCAGTGCCCGACTGGTCTTTGAGAAGTATTTCCTAATGTCCAACCTGAATCTCCCATGGCGCAGCTTGAGGCTATTTCTTTTAAGTCCTATCACTAGTTACATGGGAGAAGAGGCCAACTCCCATCTCACTCCAGCCTCCCTTCAGGTAGTTGTAGAGAGTGATAGAGAGCCCTGAACTTCATCTTCTCTGGATTAAACAATCATGAATTCCAGGGATCTGATGCTGGGAAGTACTACGTTAGGATTCCAGTTCATTGCTTGTTGATGAAAACTGTGGGATTTCTTTCTCTAGGATTTGCTGTCCTTTGAGCTATTGGACATCAATATTGTACAGGAATTAGAGCGAGTGCCACACAATACTCCTGTTGGTAAGGATGTTCTGCTGAACTGTTGCTATAATTCTAAGTTACCGTTTACTCAATGAAAACTTGTCTGGGCAAAAGCTTTTGTTCTTTGGGCTAAAGTGTCTTCCCAGCTACTGTGGTTTTTTTTTGTGTGTGTGTGTGTGCATTGTTGGAGGAGATTTAGTTGTCACTTGTCACTTTTAGTCTCTTGTTCAATTTCACATCCCCAAGACCATAAAATTCTAGGCGTTCTAGAAAGTTGACTTTTGCATTCCTCAACAAGTATCAGTAATTGCAAAGTTAATTGTCTATTTTGCCAAAGTATCTTGTAAGATAGCTGTGCTGTCTTGGAAGAATTTTATTTATTTATTTATTTATTTTTTAAGAAAGGGTCTTAAAAAGCTACTTTCTGAGGGAAGGTTCCTATTTCTTTAACGATGGTCATCTTCATAATCTTTGTTTTACAGACATGACTCCATGCATGTCCCCTTTGCCACATGATAGCCTCTTGCTAGAGAAACCTGGCTTAGGTCAGATAGAGGAGGAAAATGAGGGGAGTGGATTTAAACCAATGTCTGGTAAGCAGTAATGATGGGGAGCTTGAGAAGAGGGAGGGAGGGAGGATATTGTCAAATATGGTAACTGGACAGAAGTTGTGTTTTATTTACCTAAAGAATTGGAACTCCTGTTTTTCACCTTTCTGTGGAAAAACAACAGTTTTTTTTTGTTTTGTTTTGTTTTTTAAGAATTGGAGAGAAAACTAAGAATTTGCATTTTAAAGACTAGATTAGACCCTCACATTCAATTTCAACTTGAAATGAATTCCGAAATCTTCAACTTCTGAGGAATAATCAGTACATAGAATCAGTATTGTTAGCCTTGGCTAGGTTAAAAAAAAAAATGGTTTTGTGTTTTCTTGTGGTGACATTGAAGTAATCTACTGTGTTTCCCTTTCAAAGGAATGATTTAAGTCTGCTGTTCTACAGGTACTTGTATGGTGAAAATGAAAACTGAGCATCCACTGAACCAAGAAGAAGGGGAAGAAGATATGAGCGGGACTCAGTTTGTCTGCGAAACTGTAATTCGCTCTCTGACTCTGGATGCTGCACCTGACCATAAGCCCCCACAAAAAAATAAATCCCTGAAGAGTAAGTACTGTATTTAGCTGACTTCTGTGGTGTTACTTTCCTTGCGGATATTGGCAACAAATTGATTTATACTGCAGCTAATGATAAATTTTCAAATTGTTTTTACTGATTGTTGTATTAGATTCTTTGCAAACATTCCAAGACGCTTTCAGTTGTAATGTGATAAATGAAGAAACTTCTAGGATAAAAACTCAGTCTGTTTCTAAAAAGGAATCAAAGATCCATCAGTCAGAGGCAATGGCAGAAAATGGCAATGGTAAGTAAAATAAGTCTGAATTGAAGGTGAAGTTATAATAGGGACTACAGGAAAAAAAATCAGTGGTGTTGTAGGACTCCGGCTCTCTTGATGTAGCAAGAATCAGAGTTGCATCAGAAAACTGGTGTCAGTGCTTTGAAAAAACAGCTATTTTGAGAGCTTTGCTTTAATTAAAGGAAGAAAAATAAAAAGTGAAATTGAGATAGTAGTTCCAGTCAGTTTTCCGTTCATTACTCCAGTCATTCAGATAAGTGCTCACAGATTATTCATGGCTGCCACTTCCATAGTTTGCGTAGTTTGAAGCCTGTGCTTACACCTGATACATATAATTTAGGAGCTGAAAACTTCTGTTCTCAGTGTAGCTGTTACTTCTGTTATATTCCCCCTAAATTTAATATAAGATCGATATCTACCTTCTCCTGTCATGAAATAATATTAATAAAAAAGTTCTTATATAGTTAACGTTGGTAGCAAAGGCTTAAAGTTATTTCTGAATAATTGGCCTTTATGTCTGGAACAGTACTGCCTTTGGTCTTATCCAGGCAAAATAGACAATTTTTAATACCCTTTTTTTCTTCTTCTCTTAGATGAGCTTCTACTGTCTGATGAGAGAACAGACTGCATTACTGTCAGATTTGACGAAGATGAAGGTGATGATAAAGATGATGTTCAAAGTCAAGGCTCGTCGTCTTCATCAGAGGATTATATCATTATTCTCCCTGAGTGCTTTGATACCAGCCGTCCTTTAGGGGAGTCCATGTATAGTTCAGCTCTTTCTCAGCCCAGCCTGGAAAAGACAGGAGAATCTGAAACAGGGGCAGGGAATTCAGAAGGGGAAAGGCACCCACAGACACACAGCATCGGTGAAGTTTTGACAACTTCACAAACACTGGCTGTAGTACCATTGGCCTCGGAAGTTGTGGACACCTTACCCCAGACAGAAAGGTATGCTTCTAGGACAAGAGTAAAGAGTTGCTGCAGGCTTTACAGGATGTTGCAGTCAAGTTCAGTGTCCAAACAGAAGTTGTTCCAAAAAAATAAATAAACAAAAAAAAAAAAAAAAATCAATTCTGCATGTGCTTGTGTGCCCTATATCCTGTAACTTTTTTTTATAAAGCCATTTGTGCTTAGCTAATCACTGAGTAGAGAAGGAAATAAGGGAGTACGTGAAGATTTCTTTTGCCTGTTTACCTAGACTTACCTATATGTGGGCACATTGAATGGAAAGGAAGAAGTAATTGTTTTGCTTTATGTTTTCAGAAATCTTGCATCTCTTCAGAATCATATCTTCCAAGAACCAAACATACCAACTTCAGAGAATGTCTCTTCCACTCCTTATAATCAAATAAGAGAAGGTATTGACTGTACTTACTGAAGGGTGCATACATTAGTTGCATCCTGTTCTTTACATCTGCAGTTGAATTTTGTGTCTCATTATTGAGGGGAGCATAAACCTACCCAAGTAATAACAATCTGTTTCTCTCGGGGCGTTTAAAATTTTATCATACAGAAGACTTGAATAAAGCAATAATCAACTTTGTGAATCGGGTGAGAATAGTGTTTATTGATTAGAAATGGTAGAAGAGCACTCAGAAGTGCCTGTATACATGTAGAAGTTTATCTTGTTTTGGAATTAGTGTGCTAAAGCCATTATTGCGGTTATTTGGAGCTCAGACAGCAGTTCATATTGTCGGGAAGCAGGTACCCACTGACTTACCAGTCAAAAATGAGTCCTAGAATTCTTTTAATTATATTAACTGTAGTGAGAATTTTGCATGCCGAGCTTGCACATGGGTTTTCAAGCTTTAAAAGTTTTAATCTAGACTGAATCTCACTTGATGTTTATGTGCATGTTGAATCTCTTCAGCTTTTAGTTAAGTGTATGTATTCTTATGGTATTTTTTTCTTCTTTCAGAACCTAGTGGTGAAGACAGGCATGAATCAGAATCTTCTGTATTTCTAACTAGTATCCGGAAGGGCTCAGAATACGCAAGGTAATGAAACAGAAGCTTCACAAATTCTGTTTGTTCCATGGCCTTTCTTTGAAGATTGAGTAACTAAGAATTAGTGGAAACCAGACAGAAGTTACTCTGATCTGGATGGATGTATCACAGCTTCTGTGTACGTAGACTGTTTAATCCTTTCAAACTTTCATTTTATGTACAGTAAGCTAATGTATTTTAGCATTAAGAAAGTAAGTACAAATTAGCAGAAGGGTTGGAAAGCTTGATTCCTGAGCAGCAGTGATTCTTTTGGATAATGGGTTATTCTATCCAACAAGAATTAAGTCTCAATTGAGCCATTCGTGGGAAAGATTTACATATCAGGTGAAAGAAATACAGCTTTCGCTGACCAAATGTAATATCTAATCTTTCTACAGGCACCCACAAGGAGGCAGTATTGCAGGAGATCTAGTTAAAGGAGCTTTGTCAGTTGCTGCCTCTGCCTACAAAGCATTATTCGCTGGACCGCCCATTACAGAACAGGTAAATGTCTTTTTCCCATGTTCTGTATGAGTTTTACAGAATTCCAGCATTAAAATTGTAGGTGTTGGTACCTTAATAAAACATACGTTCTCTGTATTGATGTTTCACAACACATTGCTGCAACAGTAAAATGTTATGCTTGGTGACATCCCTTGGAAGCATGGCACTCCCACAAGACGATAGAGAAGTCCATGCTGTGGAGATATAAGCTTGTCTCTTTGAGCATAATGGAAAGTAGGTGCACATTGCTTCCTTGTGGATAAAAGGCCTTAGCGACATCACTGCATTCCAGTATAATGCAGGACCACTGCTCAAGATGGCAAAAATAAGATAAACAATCTTCTCTCTCTTGTTTTGTTTCTATCAGCCTGCAGCCACAGAAGAGCACACTGCTGCTCTTCTATCCAGTCTGTGTGAGATGGGATTCTGTGACAGCCAGTTAAACCTGCGACTGCTGAAGAAGCACAACAATAATATGGTTCAGGTGGTAACTGAATTGCTTCAAATTAGTAATGGTGACTGGTATAGCAACAGATGCTGAACCTTCCTGGTGGAGGGATGAATCGCCTTAGTTGAGCAAATTCTCACTAAACACTACATTAGCAGGCTGAGCTTCAACTACTTTGGAGATATAGATAAAACTTTGACTTCTCTTTGAGCTTTTGACTTTTTCCTCATGGAAATGTCAAACAATGCTTGTCAGAACATTTTACAAATCGGAGACAGAATTTCACCTTCACTCTTGCTGAAATCAGATGTATTGAAGTTGGTAACTTTATACTGAATCCTTTTTACCTGGAAATGTTATAGAATGACTTCAGCCTGCACACTTCCCCTTTTATTATATGTAAAATACTTTTAGGCAGCTGGGAGCTCGTTTTGTTGATTTCTAACACGTTTCCTGTTACAAAGTTTAAACTGCTTCTGTAAAATGTGGTCTTGTCTAATTTACAAGAGATACCTGCTACTTGGAGGCTGTTTCTTCTGATATGATATAGTTATCAATTCATGATAGCAGTGTAACAGATTTAAACCTTACGAATCATTCTTTGGGGGTGTGTGAGGGGAGGGTGTATTGGGAGGGGGGAGGGGGGAAGGACATGTTGCTCATATGTTAAAATTAGTCTTGAACCATCAAATGACTTCTGAAAAGCCTGAAGTTAATTTGAACGGATGTATACCAGGAAAATCACCGTTTCTTGTAGCAGAATAAAGTGTAAGAGTTAATTTACCAGCAGCTATTAACTGTAACCATTTGTAGTAATTATAACAGTAAACTTATGTCTAACAAAAAATATAGCCTACATAAAATATTTTGTTAAAAATTGAGTTCTACTGTAGGAAAAACCTTTTGAAGAACCTTTGAGAAGGTTCTTTAGGGGAAAAAAAAAAAAAAAGGTGTAAAAACTGAACCCCTATGTTTTTTCTGTGTTGTGCAGACATCTTAATACTACATAAAGAGTTAAAGTGCATAAAAAGCCAAACTTGAACTGGAATTTGAATTCTGGTCACATTTGGGAAACAAACCCCACCACCACCTGAGGTAGGGGTTGTGCAACCTACCTTAATTTGAAAAACATAACTTAAGCAGTGTTAAATATGTAGTCTCTGGCAGTGGTTCTAGCTGCTTTTGTGTTTCTGTAAACACATCTATAGAATTTGCTTTTTCTCACAATTTTTCCTTACATACACATGCTTATTTCGAAGTTTAAGAATTCCCTCCCAAACATCCTGAGAGGTGATTTGATTCTGAAGAATCGCAAGAAACCAGTTTCCATACGCTGCTGTGCAGTGGTGTATCTATAGATAATTGCTCTGAAAGTGACAGCAATGTTGACTACATTCTTTCTTTTGAGTAAACTTCCTTAGTTGCTGCAGTAGGAGACCAGTGATACTGAGATATGAATACTACTGCTGCTTCAAAATAAGGTGTTGTTATTTTGACACAATATAGCTGAAGCAGCTATCAGTACTCAGACTGATCAAATGATCAGTATTAGTTTTTTAAAGACCTAATACTCTCCATGGTAAGATACCATTAAAATAAGTGAAGAAAAATATGTATCATACTGTTTCTGTTTTAAACCTATTTTTATAGATTGTGGAAGGTAAACTCTTAAATGCTTATTTTGGAATACAGTAGGACTATTTTGCGGTGTATCCCATCTGTCTGTACCCCAGTACAGCTATCTACTGTGGACCAGATAGACTTTTCTGTAAATTGAAATCATGGTATTTCTCACTATAACTTACACATACTGATTTGATTATCTTTTGGCTTGTGCTTACTGAGGAGGAGGAGAGGACATGGATAAATGTAGTAGCTGGTGAAGTTATTAAACTTAATCTGGTTGTCTGCTTTGATCTGTAATGTCCAGCAGCACTTGCTCTTTCTCTGTATACCCTCATACTTAAGATGTTAATGTGTTCTATAAATAAACAAAACACTATAAAATGTTTGAGGAAAAGCACTTCATTGCAGATTGAATTGTGAAGTGTGAAATAATGTTTTCTTTAGGTTACCTTTTACTAGAGGCTAGATAGTGTATGCTCAGGCTTAAGATGTATTTCTGTTGGCTTTGTATATTAATGCATGGTATAATTTATAATATATTCTATAGTACAAATATGACCTGTACCTTGTTTAGGATAAGCTCTTTAAATTCAACTGTGATGTAGGGGAGAGAAGGGTAGAAGACCACGTTTTCCTCTGACCTTACAATAAATCTCTTTATCTGGCTCGCTCTCATTGGCCTCTTTACAGGCGGCTGCTGTAGCTGGAGTGCTCAGCTGTGGCTGTTCCCCTCTGCCCTGGCAGCTCACTGCCCTGCCGTAGCATTAGGACCCTGGCGAGGTGGGTGCCCTGCTTCTAAGGAGGAACATATGCCTGCCCTGTGGCAGTGGTGGGTGATGGATAAGCAGGGGGAGGTGAGGGGGTGGACTGGAGTGACTCAGGCAGTGCCAACTGTGGGGATGCTGTGCCCTGTTGGGGCTGCAGGCATGGGGCTTCTGGGGCAGTACTGGACTGGGCCTAGAGAAGCCTGCTTTCAACAGGGGCTGAGTCTAACCTGGCCACTGCAGGAGCAGTCAGACCTGCAGAAGTTCATTGTGCCCCTGTACTGTTTTGAGGTTGTGAGGTTTCAGAGCTTGCATTATTAATTGCTTTTGTTTTCCTTGATAGAGCTGAGGCCTGGAGGAGGAGGTGGGAAGGAGCTAGTAAACATTAGCTTTTTAAGTGTGAGAAGTTGAAGCTTCACTACCTGTGGCTTGCAAGAGACTGTAGTTATGGTGACTATGCTACAGTATTAATGGGACCCTTCCTGTGTTAGAGAAGCCCAAATCACTCAGGCATTCTTGTCTTTCCCTTCTACTTCCCTTGCATGCTGCAAGAGGGGGGAGAATACTAAGTTAACTGCATCAGACTGACTTGGGTCAGACTGTCCTGCACACTCAGAAGTTCTAGGAGTACTCTAATGTACCTTAGAGTAGAGGACAGGCCTTTGGAGGCCTCTAGGATACTAGGAGGAGTATAAAGCACTTCAGCAGATGCAGCTGAGCTCTGGGAGTTATGTATTTTATCTTAAAACTACACTGTGGTTCTTGTGAGTTTTCAGTGTTGCTCTGGAAAGAGACCTGTGAGCACTGGGCAGTGCTTGAATTACAATAGAGCATACTGAGAAGAATCTAAGGCATCTGAGAGCACCCTGAGGAGCTGTGGAGGTACTGTAGGGTGCAGGGGCGTCTTTGGCCCTGTCAGTCACACTGAGAAACACTAACAGCAAACTGAGGAGCTATTCAGTGCTCCCAGAGGCAGTACTTGTCCTGTAGGAGTTTAAAGGTACTGTGCTGTTTAGCTAGGTGTCCCCCACCACCTACTGGGATGTAAGTTAGATTCTAGCATGCTGGGGGCACATGTCTGAGCACAATGCATGCATAGCTCTGTAAGGTGACAAGTATACAGCTAGGCCTGCAGCTGTGCAACATCTGCTTAGCTCTCTGCGTATGTACCTGCAGACACGTGCCTGGACACCCTTGTATGCATGCATGCCTGCAGCTCTGCTTACCTCTCCTGGTGGCAGCAAGGAAGGTCCTGGGGGTTAAGCATGGTACTTGTCCCCTGTACTCCCTAGTTGCAGTTGCAGCTATGTGTCTTCCACCACCTGTGCTGGGGCTTCCCCATTTCTCTGTGCTTGGCCATAATGACACAAAATTACTCTTTTTCTCTAATTTCTCTTTAATAATAAAATTACAGCAAAGTACCACAAAGGAACAATCTGGGGCAGGGGACACAGGGACCTCAGTGTGTCCCTGCAGGCTTGGGAAGGGGGACAAGGAGGAAGCAATACAGAGCCACCAGGCTATGCCTGCACATCTATTCACATGTGTGCATTCACCCTGTCCCCTGAGTTCACCCCAGGGCAACTCTCCTGTGGAGATCATTAATTACAGAGTTAATTGCGAGCCACTTACAGGGTAGGGATCTTCTGGGTGTCACCGGAATATAGACACTCCATCCTAGGGGAGGCTCCTGCATGGAGAAAGTGAGGCAAGGACAAGACCACATGGTGGCACCGTCTCCTGGGATAAAGGGAGGGCAGCTTTTGGCAGTGAGTTAGCTGTGTCAGCACGGGGCAGGGGAGCTGTCCCATATCTCTTTTCCCCCTCCCCCCCCCCCCCCCCCCAAAAAAAAAAAAAAAATAATCATGGTGGGAGGGAGGGAGGAGCTGTACCCTACAGTGGTGGTGCTGAGCAGGGCATGCTCATCACGGTGGGCCTCAAGACAGAAGTAGAGGGGTGTGTGTGTGCTCGGGTGTACACACATGCTAATAGACCCAGGTGACAGGCACCCACTGGGGCTCAGCCCGCAGGTGCTCCATGGCCTCTCGCAGCTGCCCAAAGGTGTGCTCCAGGTTGTCGTTGGTCAGACTCAGGTCAAAGTAATGGCTGTAGCCATGCTGTATGCGACTGCTCTCCTCTACTGTCCGCCGGGCGTCAGCCTCCTGCCCACACCAGTGCTGCCTCAGTTTCCTCACTGATTCCACCTCCCCGCTCCCACTGCACTGTGCCCCTTGTCCCAAGCACCCACCGAGAGCTGCTTGATAGCCACGCCGTTCTCCAGTGCTGCACGGTTCATGGCCCGCAGGGTTTCAGCACTGGGAGCTTCGATGAAGACCACATAGGGCACAAATTCTGCTGTCCTGAGCACCTTCACTGCCTGTAGGGAAATGGGGTGGGGCTGAACCCTGCGGACCTCCCCTTAGTCCTCCTCGTTCAGGTGCTGCCTACCTGTGGGTTGACATCCAGGATGCACATCTTGCCAGCGTTCACCACAGCACGAATGGAGTCAATCTTGGTGCCGTAGAGATTTCCCTCATATTCGCCGTGCTCCAGATAGTGACCTGCCTTGATGTCTGCCTCCATCTCACCCCGTGATACGAAGTGGTACCCATGCCCATCTTTCTCGCTCTCCTTGGGCTTCCGTGATGTGTCTGCCCGCAATGTCACCCTGAGTACCCAATGCCAGCCCACCCTGGGAGGTCCCATTCAGTACATGGTGATGGTAATGGGGCTGTGACACAACTGCATAGGGCTGGGTTATAGTGCTGCTCACGGGGGACAGTGCTGCTCTTATGGGATGGTAATGTACATGGGGAGGCAGTAATGCTTTTATAGGCTAGTGATATTCAAAGAGAACAGTGATTATACCTGAAGGTGACCATGCTCATGGGGGACAGCAGAGTATTGAGAAGACAATAATGCCTTTAGGGAGGTGGCAGTGTTTTAGGGGACCATAATAGTCATTGGAGGAAGGTGACACTTGTGGATGACATGGGGACACTCACAGGGGATGGTGGTGCCGTAGCGCGCTTGGTCGAACATGATGAGCTTGTTCTTGAGGCTGCGTCGCCCCACGCCCTGGGCACCGATAAGCACTAGGGTTTTCCTTCGGAAAGGTGGCATGCGGGCCACCTCCTCATAGATCAGCAGCTCATGGCGGTCAAACTCTGTGCAAGGGACAGACACTAACTGTATGCCGTGGGGATCCCAGCACAAGGGACTAGTCTAGGGACTGTTCCTTAGGGATCCTCACCTGCGTTCTTTGTGGTCAGGTACATCATCCTCTTCTTCCTTCTCCCACTGAGGCTGCTGCACAGGGCCCCTGCTGAGGGCATGAGGCTGGCTATGCCAACCAAGGCTAGGGACAGCACCAGGGCACAAGGACATTGCTGTGGGAGCTGGGGACCCGCAGTGGGGCAGGGAGCTTCATACCAGATGTGGGGGCCACCTCCAAGTCTCGCTTCACGAAGGCTTTTCGCTTCTCCTCCAGCAGCTGGCTAGGGATAAGTCCCGCACTGCCTCCTTCCACATGGCATGCCTGAGGGGGACAGTGTGGTACGTGGGGATCCCATGTCCCCACAAACCCTCCCCATACTGCACTGCTGGGGGAAGCACAGTATGGCACATTGAGGTATTCCTCCCCAACCTCAAGCTCCCCTGCTCCCCCCCAAAAAAGCAGCAACAACACCCCCTCAGCAGCCCCTAGGCTGCTGGGAGAAACTGGACTGGGAGACAAGGGACAACAATGCTCAACTCTTACCTGCCACCAGTTGGGATCATCCTGGTTGACAATCTGCAGAAGGTCTCCGGCAGCAAAGCGTAGCCCAGCCTCCTTGCAGGGAATGAGGCTGTCGGAAGCTGGGTCATAGTCAAAGTGGCACTTCACAAACACCTGGGGAGAACGGGGGTCACCAGAAACACGGGAGACATGCATGGGTGTCATGCTCCTGGCTTCCTGCAGCACTGTGCCTCAGTCTTCCTAGCACTATGCACACTCACACATGCACATACACACATGTTCTCCCTGCCACTTGGTGCAGGCAGGCATGCAGGGCAGCCATGCACACACAGGCAGCACCCAGGGCAGCACCCAGACACCACAGCAGTCCTAGGGCAGTGCCTGCACACAGCCCTGCACCTACACACAGCCCTGCACCCAGGCACAGTGCAGCCACAGTGGCACACATTTGTGCATGCGTGTGCAACGGCAGTGTCCAATCCCTGGCTGGGCAGGAAGTGTGCACACAGGCAGCAGCATGATGCTTGGGGGCACACAGTGCCTGGCGGTGCAGTCCCAAAGGACCTGCTGACAGTGCTTCTTTGTTCCTCTCTGGGTGACAGCATGCAGCTGATGTGGTACAGGGTAGGGAACACAGCACCCAAGTTCCGCTGTGGGGAGGGGAATGGAGTCAGATGAGCGACACTGCAGCCACTACGGGTAGGAGTGGGGTGCCCTTGTGGGTGCCCAGAGTGCAGGACACAAAGAGGCAGTGGGGCCTCAAACTATGAGACACTCCCAGCTGGTTCGCAGGGGACGTGAAGCTCAGGGAGCTGGAGACATAGGACACAAAAGCATGAGTAGATGGGACACAGGGTACATGGCAAAGGAACAGGTGACGCTTGGGTATAGGGCATGAGCACAGTGAAAATGGAAGCATGGGGACAGCACAGAGGTGGAAACAATGTCGGCATAATGCAGTGGGACTCATAGGCATGGAGGCTCATGAGCCATAGGCAAGGGAACTGGTGCAAGATGCAACATGCAGAGTACGGATATAGGATGTAAATGTGAGTACCTGCCGGGGTGGGTGTGGCTCCTGGTAGCTGGGCAGGATCTTGAGGATGACGCTACCACTGGCATGGCGCAGGCTGTCCTGCAGCACCCGTGGGTCACTGCCCACCTCCTGCCCATTCACCTCTCGGATGACATCCCCTACGTGCAGCAGCCCCTGCTGGGCCACCATGCCCCCATGCAGGATGCGGGCAATCACCAGCTCCCCCCGCTCCACCCGGAACGTCACTCCCTGGGTGGAACAGTCCCACATCAGCTCTGACAGCAGTCACCTCGCGTCACTGCCCCAGCACCGGTGATTTCCCCAGTATCCTGCAGTGTTCCCACTACCATGCAATATCTTCAGAACCATCCAAGGTATCCGTGCAATGCTCTCAGTAATATCCTGACATCCTGCAGTGTCTCCAGCACCCAGCAATTTCCCCAGTACCCTGCAGTGTCATCAGCACTGTGCAATGCCCCCAGTATCCAAAAATTCCCCAAGCAATGCCGTCAACACCCATTAATGCCCCCCTGCAACTTTAATTGCCCCCAGCACTCAGTGAAGTCCGCAGCATCATGCAATTTCCCCAACACCCTGCGATTCTCCAAAATTATGCGATGTCCCCAGCACTGTGTAATGCCCTTGCAATGCTTCCAGCATCCGGCAGTGCACCTTGCACCTTATATTGCCCCCAGCATTGTCCTGATCCAGCTTACCAGGTTCTCTCCAGCCGTCTTGCGAATGCCCACCATACGCACAGCGTCGGGGGGCACAGGCTGGTTGCTGAAGGTTGTATCCAGAACAGGGCTGGGAGGAGGTGTCTCATAGCTCTTGGAGGCCACTGAGTCATGGGTCTCCAGCAGGGACTGCAAGGTGCACAGCTGTCACACATTGTACACACACACCTTGCACATGTATGGGGTTTACACATGCACCTTGCATGCACAGGGCTTGCATGCCTCCTGCCACACCTGGAAGTGGGGCTCACGCAGGATGCGGGCCAGCTCGGCTGCTGCGCTGTCCTGCTGCACCAGGTGCCCAATGTCATGCAGGATCTCCTGCACCAGCTCCACGTTGTTATCCCGCACTGCCTCCAGTTTTGTCTCCTCCAGTCGCTCATGGGCCTAGGGTGGGGGCAAGGGACTCCTGCTGCCACTGGTGCTCACATCTGTATCCACATGGTGCACACACACGCATGCATGTACACTGCGCACATACACTTACGTCCACATGCACCCTCTGCACGGGCACAGAGCCATGCATTCACATGTGTAAATTCACCTGTTTGGATGCACATCTGCACCCAGCCTTTCATGCACACTACCACACCAACCTGTGCATGCATGTGGCAGTGCACACATGCGTATACAAATACAAACACGTTGTGCTGAACATGCAGGACATGGTCAATCACATGCACCCCATAAGCACAGCCAGCAATTGGCACACGTGTGAATACTCCACCTTGTACACCACCTCTCCCCACTCATACCCAGCCCCCTCTCGCTGCTCCCCAACTCCACATACAGCTGCAGCACAGGACCCTCATACACATCTGTGTACACGCACTGCATGCACATTTGCTTCCATGCATGCACACAGACACATGTGCGAGCATAAACACACCTCCCTATGTGTACACGGATATGCATGCACACAACCATGCACCCATACAAGTGCATTCTCACACGTGCATGTACACAGATGTGCATACCTTCTCATCACACAGATGCATTTGTGCATACATATGCAAGCAGACACAAATGTGCATCTTCATCTGTGCAACACACACACACACACACACACACACACACACACTTGTGCCCATTCACACTCACCCATCCATACACCTCCATTCTCCCACATCCCCTCCTTTCCCCATGCTTCAAGGTGACAGGAGGAACATAGTGCTACCAGTGCCCTGCACCACTGTACCTTTGCCAAGGACCTTACTATTGGGCTCTCCATGATGCCGCGGAGGAAGATGAGATCAAGGTCAGCAGCACCTGGGGCACTGGGGAGGCCCAGGAGGTTGTCGAGGACTTGCTGCATGGCTGGGGACATGGGGATGTGGGAACACAGGGATACAGGGACTCAGGAACAGTCAAGGGAGGGGGACAGGGACAGATTTAGGGTCTCCATATCCCCCTCACCTCACCCCAGGGTACTTGATGGTGTGGTGCGATGGGATGCCCTGCTTCAGTGGGGGCTAGTGGCTCTACGCCATGTCCCCCCTCCCACCCATGCCTCATTGCCCCCCTGCAATTAGCACGGCATCTCCTTGCAAAGGGCTGCCTCCCCAATTTCCCACCTATTGTTGCAGGAGGCTGAACTGTCCCTCCAGCCCCCTCAGTGGGGGCAACAAGGAGAACCTGCCTCCAAAAGACACCAGAGAACACCCCGGGGGGGGGGGGGGGGGGGGGGTTACATTGGGAAAGGAGGGAACTCCTCAAAACCCCCTGGAGGCATATTCCCCACACGCAGTTCATGCAGCAGCAGGCAGGTCTGCAGTGCAACTGGCAGGATGCAGTAAAGCCCAGAGGGGAGGAGGTTTGCAACACAACCAGGCAGTGCAACGCAAACAAGGGATGGCAGTGTAAACGGGTGAGGGGCGGGGGGCAGGTTGGGGGGTTGGTTGGGGATGGGGGACGACACAGCACTGCAAATGAGGAGGCTGCAATGCAAACACGGGAATGTAATACATCTGAGGAGTACAATTTAACCAGATGGTGTGATGCAATCAGTGAGGGGACTGCAATGCAAACAAGGGCTTGCTATTCAGCAGGGAGCGCTTGCAATGGAAGGAGAGGCTGCATGCAATGGCGGGCGAGGCTTGAAAAGCAGATGAAAAAGGGGGAAAGAGGGGAGGTGTTGCTCTCAAATATCCCTCACTCCACACCTAGGGGGAATCACAGCATGACGCAGGAGATCACCTTCCTTTGCCCCGCTCCACCCCCCCTACCCCTGCCCCCAGCTTACCCCTAGTGCATCCCACAGCCACCAGCCCCCGCACAGCGTCACATTCTGACCCAACCTCCGCGCCCGGGGATTCGCCCTACCTTGGGGACCCAACGGGGTGCCGGGGCCAGATGGCGAAGCCCCAGGTTTGGGGCCGCTGTTCATGCCTACAGGCAGCAGAGCCCGGCCTCCTGCCCGCCTCCTGCCCAGATCCGGGTACCGTGGCCCCCGCCTGTGCCTGCTGCACCCCGAGCCTCGGCCGCAGCACACGAGTGTGCAACAGGAGCATGGACATGCAAAGGGAGCACGGGCGTGCAGAAGTTGCATGGATGTGCAAAAGGAGCATGAATCCTCTGCTACGTGCTCACTGCCTCAATCATGGCATGTGGAAAGCCCACATATGCATGCAGAGTGCATGCTTGCACACGTGTCCCTGTACACAGCATACACATGAATGGAGATGTGTGTATTCTCATACACCTGTCTGATTGTCTCTGTACAAGTATAATCATGTTGCTGTCCGCACCTCCATCTGCATGCTCACACATGCACATCTATGTGTGCAACCATGTGAGCATCAGTGTTCAAGCACAAGACCTGTGTGTACTCATACACTTGTGCACAATGTGAACAGCTGTGTGCATTCAAAAACACATCTAATATGCCCCTGATATGCACACACGTGTGCGCAGTCCTGGTCAGCTACAAGCCCGCAAACCTGAGATGCTCACACGCATGTGCGTACCCATGCCCCCACCAGTGCATGCTCACATGAATGTAAACTCGTGCACATGCAGACACATGCCTCCCTTTGTGCCCTCACACTTGTGTCCACACACACCATGCATGTTCACGTGCAGATCTGCATGTTCATACCCTGTGCATGCCTCCCCTGCTTGCACATGCCCTTGCACACTCACACTCTCCCCCCATGTGCTCACCCGTAGGAGCCCCCCGCTCACTGCCACGCACCTTCCTGGGGATTCGGGTGGGGGAGGACGGCGTGTCCCCTTTAAGGGGGGGCAGGTGACGTTGCCATGGCAGCCGGGGGACGGGCCAAGAGCTCCTTACTGGTGAAGGGGGCACGGATTTAAAGGGGCCGCACAGTGCCCAACTTCCCCCTCTCCCACCTCGAGCCCCTCACATGGATGTGGTATCCTCCCTTATGCACGCACGGTGAAATGCTGTCAGTTCACACCCGGAGCTCACTGGGGCAGGGACAGGCACACTTAAACGTTATGCACACACACGTTCACGTGCAAATGCTCTACCCACATGTGCCCACACACGAGAGCCTCCCCCCCACTCTCCCCTACACCCCACCCATTCTCCAGCCCAGAAGCGAAATGATGTGTCACCCCACATGATATCCCAGCATCGGTATCCCCAGCACCAGTTTTCCCAGCTGCCGCCTGCTGAACAAAACATACTGCAGGCTCTGCTCCACGCATGCATGGTCGTGTAGGGGCTCTTGTGTGGCGCGACCGTGCACCATGGGAAAAGGGGGATGGTGTAACTGGCTTCATAGTGTGGGAATCAAATGTTGTTTCTGCATTAGAATTGGATCATTTTTTTTTTATTATTTCATTATCTCCTCTATCCACTTAACCTACCCACATGCTGTGCAGCCATGGAAAAATCACATTTCCCTCAGCACATGGGAGTCCAGCCTTAGTTACCAGCTGCTGGTTGCCCATCACACACATCCACATATACACCCACTGTATGTGATGGCACCACAGAGCGCTCTCAGAGGTTCTTAGTGCACCCTGGAGTGCCATATTGTGGCCCATGGAGCTCAGGGAGTCATCTGGTGTGGCCCAGAATTTACTGGGACATACTTGTACTACAGTAGAGTATACTGGAAAGCCTTTAGTGAACCCTTGAGCATCCCAAAGAATTCTGGGAATATTGTAGGATGCCCCAGAGTCCACTTAGGAATTCGTGGAAGCCTCTAGAACAGACTAAGAAGTTTCTAGGGCAGCTTAGAGAACATAGATAAACTCTGGGATTTCATTAGCGTGCCTTAAAGTACATTAGGGAGGCCAGGCTCCACCCCTTCCGGCAGCACAGGTGAATTGCCTTCACCTGTGCTCCTCTGGCTGGCTCGTTGCTCGCCTCAGGTGATCAATCAGAGGTTCAGGCCATGACTCAGCAGTTCCCATACAAGAGCCCAGCTGGAACATCGGCTTGCAAAACAAGTCTTCGCGAGAACAAGACCAAATACCATGGATAGCTCTCTCTACAAAACGTTTGCAGCCACAGCCACAAATATCAACTCCCTTAAAACTGCCAAAATACCTTATTCAATTGCAGGATCATTCTTCAGTCAGGGGCCGTTAGGTCCCCAGTATAACACCCCAACAACGTCACTGCCCAGTGCTCACTCCCTGATGTCACCCACCCTTTCTTCCCAAAAAGCCCCAACATCACCCATGCCACTACAATGACACTTCAGAATCACTCTCTGCTGTCACCCTAATGTCACTCCCAGAGTCGTGCCAACAATGTCACCCCCCAACATCACACTAAGTCACCCCAGTGCCTCCATCGAGTATCTCTCTTTCTCTGATTCCCCCCCACGATACCCCAGCATCACCCCCCAGCGTCACTCTCCAGGCTCAGTCCACAACTTCACCCCAGTGTCATCCCAGCATCACTCCATGGCATCACCCCAACTTGCTTGCCAAGTAAGCAAGGTTTGGGACAGCAGCTCCTAGAGGGGCTGTATAAGCTTTCAGACACCGATAATCGATTGTTAATCACCACCTTCCATCTGGTTTCCAAACCAGATGACAATTGAGCTATGTGGGGAGTCTGTTCTGGAAACGATTTGTCTTTTCTCCAAATCTGCTATGAGTTCAGAAATCCCACATCATGCTGCAGCAGAAATGGGGTACAGTGGTAAGTTAGCGACCCCTGCTTCAGGGAGCACAGGGGCTGCATAAAGTGCACACGCTGCAGCCTCCCTATTTCTTTGGAGTCTGGGATTGAAACTTGACCCAAAAGGCCACACACTGCCATACAGGCAGGTGCCAGGTTCACCCACTGAGGATGTCAAATCCTGAATTGTTTTCACGATGGTCTTTAATTGCAAAGAAAGTAGGTGACACGTTTCTCACTGGAGAGCCATAAGCTGTCCCCACTAGTTTGGCAAATAGCGCTCGCTCCGATCACACCGGTAATCTCAACTTTGCCATCCAGGCTGCACACACAGCTTTTCAGCATCTTGCTGTATCAGTACTGAAATTTGTGTGCTGTATCAGTATTGAAATTTGTGCTCCCCTATCTATTAGAAATGTTACTGAACGCTTTTGAGGACAGACTTCAATCAAAATATGCATGCCATTGTTGCACATCCTTTGATCAAACTCCCCTTGCCGGACAGGCAGATCCAATCACCTGCTTGTTATTAGTCTTTTTTTTGTTGTTGTTTACAGTCTGAAGCAGTGATTGAGCACCTGGTGAGGGGTGTGGCCAGCCCTGCCAGCACAGGTGGAAGCAATTTGCCTGTGGGACTGGATAGGGCTGAGCTTGGCTCCACCCCTCCCTGCCCATATTTAAGGGCTGGGAACAGCAAGGGCAGCATTCTGCTTGGGGACTGCCTCCTTGGGAGCATTGGGAGTGAGTTCTGCCCTTTGGAATGGGGTGAGTGATTGATGCTTTATTGCAGGGCTCTGGTCTTTCTGTTTTGGGGGATCCTGATTGCTTTTAAGAGCTGAAAGTTGTAAGGGCAGCATTTCTTCATGGAGACTGCTTCCTTTGGGGTGTGGGCTGAGTGTTTGTTTTTGGAATGGGGTCATTGATTTCTTCTTTATTGTTGGATTGTAATTTCACTTTCTGGTGGGCTCACGACCACATATAAGGTCTGTCAGTAGAAAGAGCAGCAACTGCACCTGGAGACTGCTTCCTTTAGAGTGTGGGGTCAACCCTTGAAACAGGGTGAGTGATTCTTTATTCCAGGGTTGCAATATCTTGTTTTTGGGAGGATCCTGACCCCATTTAAGGGCTGGCAGTCTTTAGGGTGGTATCCGTCTTCAGAGCCTGTCTCCTTGGGAGTGTGGGGTGAGGTCTGGTCCTTGAGAAAGGATGAGTGATTCCTTCTTATTTTAGGGCTGTGACCTTTCCCTTCTGGTTTTTGGGGCATCCTGACCACATTTAAGTGCTGACGGATGTAAGGGCAATGTTGATCTCTGGAGACTGTCTCCTGTGGAGCATAGGTGAGTTTTGGCCTTTGAGAAGGGTGTAAGTGGTTTCTTCTTTATTTCAGAGCTGCAATCTCCCTTTTTTTTTTTTTTTTTTTTTTTTTGTATCCTGACCACTTTTAAGGCGTGGAAGCCATAAGGGCAGCGTCTGTCCCTGGAGACTACTTCCTTGGCAGTGTTGGCTGAGTGTTCATCTTTGGAATGGGGTAACTTATTTTTTCTTTATTTC